ACAGGGAGCAGGAGGTGGGAGCTGATCACGAAAGAAAATAAGAGTGAGGAGGTGGGGAGGAGGGAGGAAAGGGGAAGGACACCCAGAAGAAGTGTTCGTGTGTTGGAGGAAGCAGGCAAGGAAGGGCACCTAGCCAGAAGCTAAGGCCCCCAAGCAGTAATAGAGGACCCTTTTGCCTCAGGGCCCCTAGAGCCAAACTTAAGCGCCTGCCAGGAGGAAGGCCTGCAGTAGAAGGGGGCAGACAGAAAGACCAAAAGAGGAAAAGGGGCAGGTGGCGAATGAGGCTCTGAGGGGCCCATGCCCAGCTCTGCAATACACTCTGCCCCCCAGAACCACTCATGGGGCCGCCAGTATTCCCATGCCCTGTTCAAGGCCATGAGCCACATGCTGTGCATAGGCTATGGGCAGCAGGCACCTGTAGGCATGCCGGACGTCTGGCTCACCATGCTCAGCATGATTGTGGGTGCCACGTGCTACGCCATGTTCATCGGCCACGCCACCGCACTCATCCAGTCCCTGGACTCTTCCCGGCGCCAGTACCAGGAGAAGGTCAGCAGGGACAGGGGAGGGAGGGGTGGCATGGAGGGTTGTTGGATACTGGGTACCCAGACTTGAGTCCCATTCTGATGTGTGCCCCTGTTACGCCTGTTTCCTTTCCTGCCCTGTCTGTTTGGTCCCTGCCCCTGCGTGTACCTTTTCTTTGTTTGAACCTATGCCGGTGCTTGGCCCCTCTGCTATTCACACCTGGGTGTTCCTATGACTGTGCTCTGTGTCTTCCTGGTATCCACCATTACCTGTATTCCTCTGTGGCCCTGTGTATCCATGCCTGGTTCCATGTTTCACCCCTCTGAGTTTGACCTGTGTCTCTGACCTTCTACACACACACACCCTACTGTTCCGGCCCCAAATCTCTCCCTGTGTCCTCTTGCCCCTGGCAATGGGCCGGCCCTCCAGTACAAGCAGGTGGAGCAGTACATGTCCTTCCACAAGCTGCCAGCAGACACACGGCAGCGCATCCATGAGTACTATGAGCACCGCTACCAGGGCAAGATGTTCGACGAGGAAAGCATCCTGGGCGAGCTGAGCGAGCCACTTCGGGAGGTGGGGCTGGGTTGGCCCTGGAAGGGGGGGCTCTTCAGGGACCTGGAGTGCTATCTGGTGGTAGGGGCTGTCGGTCAGCAGGTGCGCCTATGGGGGATGAGGCCTGCAGAGGGCCCCGGAGGAGGCCAGGTATTTGGGGGCCTTTCAGGGGATAGGGTCTTTCTGGAAGGTCCTTTGGGAGTGAAGTGTACATAAGGAGGGACTGTAGGGATCTCTGTTTTGGGGAGATAGTCCCACAAGAGCTCATGGGAAAGATCTGAAGACAGAAGCTTAGGGATGGTCCCAGGCCCACTGACACATCCCCATCCTTTGGCAGAACATGAACCCCAGGGGTGGGATTTCTGGAGGAAGATGAGCTCGGTGGGAGCATCTCAGGGCAGGGGGCACAGCCTGCCTGACAGTCCCCTCTCCTGTCCAGGAGATCATTAACTTCACCTGTCGGGGCCTGGTGGCCCACATGCCACTGTTTACCCATGCCGACCCCAGCTTTGTCACTGCAGTCCTCACCAAGCTGCGCTTTGAGGTCTTCCAGCCGGGGGACCTTGTGGTGCGTGAGGGCTCCGTGGGCAGGAAGATGTACTTCATCCAGCATGGGCTGCTCAGTGTGCTGGCCCGCGGCGCCCGGGACACACGCCTCACCGATGGATCCTACTTTGGGGGTCAGCAGGCCTCAGGGAGGGTGGGGGCGTCGCAAGCAGACAACGGATGGGGCAACTGCTTCCCAGGCTCAGGGTCCCTGTCTGGCTATGCTGCAGAATCACAGAGCTCCAGCCCCTCAGTGAGAATCTCTGGGCTGGGATCTGGAGCTCTGTAACTTTTAAAAGCTTCTCAGGAGATTCTAATGCACAGCCAGGTTGCAGACTACTGGGCCAGAGGGCCTTTTAGAGCCCTTAGACAGTGAAATCCAAAGATCCTATGAGATGAGGGAAAAGTTGGGGTGAAGCAGAGCTGTCCTGGAGCATGAGCTTTATGGAGCTGCCTGGTGGTGTGATTCAGGAACCCAGCCTGTGGCAGTAAGGGCAGTTCAGCCAGCCACTGCCCAAAGGGACCTGAGGCTCATGTAGTCTCTCGGTCCCCAAACCACCCACCACCCCCATCACGTTGCACTTTGCTCTTTGACACTGCTTCTCTCCTTCCGGGCTGCCCTCAGTGTTCATTCAAGGGGGTGGGAGGGGTGGGTACACGGAGTGACTTGCCCTGGTCTACCTCTTGTTTACTTCTTGGGATAGAGCAGTCGGGGAGGGGTGGGAGTTAAAGTGGAGTCACTGGGAGTCTAGGGCCAACAAGACCTGCCTGGTCATCAGCCTTCATTTGGAGAGAGCGGGAAGGACAGGGAGCAGCAATCCAGTAATTGTGGGCATCTGGACAGAAACGATGCTTGGGGTGTTCAGGGCCCTGGAACAGGGAGGTAATAGGTAATCAGTGGTTTCTCTCAAGTCTAGGGAAGAGCCTTAGAAAGTTGGGTCCGCTGCTGCAGGCTCAGTGAGAGGCATTCGGGGGTAAGGACAGGGGTTCTGAGGCTTCCTCCCAACTTCTGCAGAGATCTGCCTGCTAACTAGGGGCCGGCGCACAGCCAGTGTTCGGGCCGACACCTACTGCCGCCTCTACTCACTCAGTGTGGACCATTTCAACGCTGTGCTCGAGGAGTTCCCCATGATGCGCCGGGCCTTTGAGACCGTGGCCATGGATCGGCTGCGCCGCATTGGTGAGACCTGTCCACCCCATCTGCTCTGGGTCCAGGCTGTGCCCTCACCCCACCTCCAAAGCAAGGAGCTCAGGCTTTGGGGCTCTAGGGTCATATCCCAATCCATTCAGTCCCAACAGATGCTCCCAGCAGGCCTTTCAACACTGTGGCCCACTGTACTTATCCCTCAGCATGTCCCACCCAGGAGAGATATCATCCCACGTCCCCATGTCCTGAGTCCTCCTTCCCCTGAGTACCAATCCCCTGACCCTCACTTCCTCCAACCCCATCTCCACCCCGATAGTCCTATCGCCATACTACTGACTCCCATCCCCTACCCTCAACCCCACCCCATCCTGAGACCCTCACACTCTTTGATATCCAACTTCCAACTTGGATTCCTTTCCTATCCTTAACTTTCCCCTCCCGGGACAAATTCTAGGCAAGAAGAATTCCATACTGCAGCGGAAGCGCTCTGAGCCAAGTCCAGGCAGCAGTGGTGGCATCATGGAGCAGCACTTGGTGCAACATGACAGAGACATGGCTCGGGGTGTTAGGGGCCTGGCTCCTAGCACAGGAGCTCGGCTCAGTGGAAAGCCAGTACTGTGGGAGCCACTGGTGCATGTGCCCCTTCAGGCAGCCGCTGTGACCTCCAACGTGGCCATTGCCCTGACTCACCAGCGGGGCCCTCTGCCTCTCTCCCCTGACTCTCCAGCCACCCTCCTTGCTCGCTCTGCTCGGCGCTCAGCAGGCTCTCCAGCCTCCCCACTGGTGCCAGTCCGAGTTGGCCCGTGGGCATCCACCTCCCGCCTGCCCGCCCCACCTGCCCGAACCCTGCATGCCAGCCTATCCCGGGCAGGGCGCTCCCAGGTCTCCCTGCTGGGTCCCCCTCCAGGAGGAGGTGGACGGCGGCTAGGACCTCGGGGCCGCCCACTCTCAGCCTCCCAACCCTCTCTGCCTCAGCGGGCAACAGGCGATGGCTCTCCTGGGCGTAAGGGCTCAGGAAGTGAGCGGCTGCCTCCCTCAGGGCTCCTGGCCAAGCCTCCAAGGACAGCCCAGCCCCCCAGGCCACCAGTGCCTGAGCCAGCAACCCCTGGGGGTCCCCAACTTTCTGCCAACATGTAAAACCCCTGAGTACATCCAGCCTTAGTTCTTGGGGTTAGTGAGTAGTATGTACCCAAGGGCAGGTGTCTCCTGGGGAAGGCCATGGGGACCTGAAACGTTGCCCTATGGAAATGTCAGCCCTGTGCTGACATTCCCCATACTGCCATGAAGATGGTCTCTGTGTTCTCAGCTCAAGAATCTTGTAGCTTGTCTGCCATCATAATCCATTCATCGTGTGTACTGAGCATCTACCTTGTCCTAAGTAATATGCCAGGCGCTGTGTGTCTCCACTGCCAAGTAGAAGTGACTCGGAGCCTCTGACAAGGGTATTCCCCTGGCTATGGTCCTGCCGGGTGCAGGCCCAGGCCCATGACCCTACCTTTACTAAGCACAAGTACTTGCCACCACCGTCACTGCCAAGTAACTTAATGTCTCTGTTTCCCTGCCAATGATCCTGCAGGTTCTGCCTGGCCTGGTTATCTTCCTGTTCCTGTAGCATAGCCAGGCACTGCCAATCACCTGCGCCCCCATTGCTGCCAGCATATGTCTTGGGTCCTGACTGTGGGCATCCACATTTACCTGCTCACTGCCACCTGTGGCCCTCCGTGTCTCTACCCTCTGAGTGGGAACACACTTCTAAGTTCCCTGCAGTCTGTCCTGTGGTAGAACTGTCTTTTTGTAAACTGAGAGCTGCCTCTTCCCTGTGCCCTCTGCTCCAGTGGTGCCCCCCTAAAAGTTAAGGGGTAGTTGGTACCTCCTCATTAATACGCCAGCCTGGATTCCTCCCCCTTCCCTGGTGGAGGGGCAAATGGCTGAATCCTTATGTGATATTTTTTTCTTTGCTTATTTATTTAATTTTATTTATTCACTTGCTAATTTTGTTTGTTACCAATTCATTTTGTTTAGCCATTACTTTCTCCATCCCTCCCCTCCTTTTCAGGTAAGGAGACAGGAGGAGTAGCAGGAGGCAGAGCCTCTCCATGCCAGCCTCTGTGGTCCTTGCCCAAACCCATCAGCAGCAATACTTGAACCTTCTCCCTATCAGGTAGGGGCAGGAGGAACCACGTGAGAGAGGGAGAAGGATTGTGTTTATCTTTAGAGTTTTGTTTCGTTTTTTCCTTCTGAGTTTGCTGTTGGTACAGGAGTAAAGGGAAGGCCCAAGGAATTCAAGCCTGGGAAAGGGCAGGCCAGCCAGCACCTCTGCCTTCTCAGGGACAAAAGTAGTCCTTTACCACACTCACACTGTCTGTCCCCTCTCCGCTCTACAGCATTAAAGACTGTGGGGCCAAGACCCTGTCTCCTTTCCTTCTGGGTGGGGAGTTCTGGGGTTCTTGGTGTGTGGGAGAAGTTTTATAATTGCTTCCAAACAGCTGGATTTAAATATAAAATAGAGACACTCATTTTTGGCTCTTAGTTTGTGTGTGGGAACAAAGTGAATGGGAAGCTAATTTTTGGGTGCAGGAGGAAGCAGCCGGGCATTTGGCCAAGCAGGGTATCAGGCAGGCATGAGAGCAACCAAGACAGTGGTCTACAAGTCCAGCACAGAGGCTGTGAAGACAGTGACAAAATCAGCTACCCAGCCCTCGCTTCTCCCCAGCATCTATCCCACCCAGTTTTCCCAAAAGTGTAGGCTTTCATGTCACTGTCAGTCACCGTGAAAGGGGTAGCCTGCCCTGGCGTCAGATATGCCCAGATTATCATAAGGGCCACATATGAGAACGGGAGACTGGACAAGATTGTCCTGCCCTCCGCCTCCCCAACCCCGAGGGATAGGAAGGCTGGGGTTATGGAATTAACCAGCCAAACTGGGATTAAAGGCTCAAGGTATCTTAGGGCCTGCTGAGTGGATCGGATGCAGGGAATGTACAGTTGGTGCTATTGGGTGGCCAGTGCATGATTGGACACAGACTTTCAGGACCTGTGTGAAATGGAGACGGGGAAGGGGCAGCTTGGAATGGGACTAGATGGCAGATATGGTCTCAGGCCCGAGGTAGGGAGAACCAGGAATAGAGAAGAGAGGACTTAGAGGTGGGACTTTGGAGGGGTGTGGGCTGGAGGACGTAGACTGGGGAGGGAGGAATGGGGCAGAGGAGGAAGGGGCATCTCAGGATATGCTCAGCACCCGCATGATGTTGGTGTAGCCGGAGCCAGGTCGCCAGCCTGTCACCACAATCACCAGGTCCCCAACACGGAGGAAGCCACGGAGTTTTCCTGGGGGAGGGAAAGAAAATGAGTCACTGGACAGGCACAGCAGCTCACACGTGTAATCTGACAGTTTGGGAGGGCAAGACAGACGGATCATGTGAGGTGAGGAGTTCAAGACCAGCCTGCTCAACCTGGCGAAACTTTGTCTCTACTAAAAGTACAAAAATTAGCTGGGCATGGTGGTGCATGCCTGTAGTCCCAGCTATCCAGGAGGCTGAGGCAGGAGAATCACTTGAACCCGGAAGGTAGAGGTCGCAGTGAGTTGAGCTCATCACTGCACTCCAGCCTGGCAACAGAGTGAGACTTGGTCTCAAACAAAAAAAAGATGCAGGGCCAGGTGCAGTGACTCATGCCTGTAATCCCAGCACTTTGGGAGGCCAGAGTTGGGTGGATCATCTGAGGTCAAGAGTTCGAGACCAGCCTGACCAACATGGTGAAACCCCATGTCTACTAAAAATCCAAAAATTAGGCGTGGTGGCAGACACCTGTAATCCCAGCTACTCAGGAGGCTGAGACAGGAGAATCGCTTAAACCCAGGAGGTGGAGGTTGCAGTGAGCTGAGATCGCGCCATTGCTCTCCAGCCTCGGTG